GAAGGGACTGTTCACAATCTCTATGCATTTATAAATAAAGAAGCTGAAAGCTGGATGACCGCCATTGAAACCGTCAAAGGACTAGGTGCAGAGAAAGCAGGATCTCGAAGTACTGGACGTACACTAGTGATACCCCAAGTAGAAGTAGAARCAAAGAAACACACTACAAAGTGTCACCTTTGTACTCAAGATCATGGATTATGGAAATGTGACCTCTTCAAAGCACTCTCTGTTGATGAAAGATGGGTCAAAGCTCGTGAGTTTAAAGTTTGTTTTCGATGTTTATCCAGTTTTCACCGAAGCAACACGTGTAGGAGCAAGAGGTTGTGTCTAGTAGATGGTTGTCGTTCGAATCACCATCGTCTTCTCCACAAYACTGATAAGAGCAGAAGAGCAAATGTGGGTGGTACAAAGGATAACAAGCCTCAACAAGAGCAGCCCAATGGAAGAGGAAATGAATCATTGTCAAMTGCAAAAGCCACGGAAGGGGAGTCTCARCAACATAAAAGCTATTTGACTACCAAYGATACTCACACCAAGAATCCAAGTACAAATCCAGAATATTTAGGCTTAAGGACTGTACCAGTGATGTTGAAAAATGGTGAAAAAAGTCTGCACATAAATGCGCTACTCGACGATGCAAGCACAAGATCTTATTTAAATGAAGATGTTGCCAACTATCTAAACTTAAGTGGTGAAGAAGTAACATTGTCTGTGTCAGTCTTGAATGACACTCATACAAACCTGAAGAGCAACATGGTACATTGTGAGCTAGTAAGTTCTGATGGACATGTTAGAGAAGATGTTAGTGCATATACATGTACAACAAATCGTGTAACTGTAAACTTGCATGCTATTGACTGGTCTAAAGAAAAGAATAAATGGCCTCACTTAAAGGATATCAACTTTCCCGTTCAAGGTAAACGTCCTATTGTTGACATGTTAATTGGCCTTGATCTCTCAGACCTACACTGTGCATTACAAGAGGTGCNGAGAAGTATCTGTTCGCTTTGTGATGTCAAAGGCAAAGGTGACCCCTCTTCATTCAATAAGCATACCAAGATTAGAATTAATGGCAGCTGTAGTTGGTTTACAAATAGCAGAGAAAGCTGTAAGCATTTGTGGACTAGCGATCAACCAGGTAACATTTTGGTCTGACAGTCATGATGTTCTCTACTGGGTTCGTGGAAAATCACGTCAATTCAAACCATTTGTTGCAAATAGAGTTGGGGAAATCCAATCCAAGACCGATCCAGCGCAATGGCGTTATGTTCCAACAAAGATCAATCCTGCAGACAAGTTAAGCCGAAGTTTACCTGCAAGGACACTAGTTAGTGACAGCATCTGGTGGGAAGGGCCAGAATTTCTTAAGCAGTCCATTGAAGAGTGGCCAGTTATGAATCTTCAGCTATCCCAATCACTAAACTCACCAGCAGAAACCAAAAGGCAGTATCTTGATTGCAGTTTTAGTATTCAACAAATAGACAAAGTGGAGAATAATATGTCATTCTTAACACTACTGACAAAAGAAGACCATCTCAACCCCACTCGATTTTCAAGTTGGACACAAATGGTACGTGTAGCCGCCTATGTCATACGTTTTGTAACCAACTGTCGTTTAAAGTCAAAGATAAGAGTAATTGGAGTTCTAAGCCCACTAGAAATAGCAAAAGCAGAAATATACTACGTCAAGCTAGCGCAACTAGAGAACTTCCCAGCAGAGATTGCTAGTTTAAAAGCAGGAAAGAAATTACCTTCTACCTCCAAGTTACTACCTCTTTGTCCAGATCTTGATGAAGATGGCCTTGCTCGCTGCAATAGTCGCTTACAGTTTGCTGAGTGTCTTTCATGGGAGAGCAGATTTCCAATCATACTACCTCGTAAACATGCTGTCACCTCATTAATCGTTAGAGATGCCCATATTCAGAGTAAACATGGTGGGACAAACCAAGTTCTTGCTCATCTACACTATTATCAAAGTATTGGATTGTTTCGGCTAGAGAAGCAATAAGAGAATGGGAAAGGGAATGTGCCACATGTAAAAGAAGTAAAGCCAAACCAGCAAGTCCGATTATGGCTCCATTATCAGATCGACGCACTCACCAGTCCCTGAGAGCATTCAGTCAGGCTTCAGTTGATTTTGCAGGCCCATTTCTGACAAGGCAAGGTAGAGGGAAAACACGACAGAAACRATATCTTTGTCTTTTCACTTGCCTGTCTTGTAGAGCAGTGCACTTATAGAGATGGCTTACAGTATGGACACAGACTCTTTTTTGAATGCATTTTATCGTATGGTATCTCGACCTGGAATTCCAGAACTCATGGTTTCAGATAATGGAACAAATTTTTTAAGCGGAGATAGAGAACTACAAGAACTTGTAAGGGCCCTTGACAAAGACAAGATTCAAGACTCCACTGCTAACAAGGGAATTAAATGGCACTTCAATCCCCCTGGCACTCCACACTTTAATGGTGTCCACGAAGTGATGATCAAAGCAGCTAAGAAAGCGATCAAAGYGATAATATTAGGAAATGCTGACATAAATGATGAAGAACTTGGAAGTGCCATCGTAGGTGCTGAAGGACTAATAAACTCAAGACCACTCACTTACCAATCTGATAATTCATCTGATGAAGTTCCTCTAATGCCTAATCATTTTCTGCATGGCCAGATMGGTGGCAACTTTGCTCCAGAATCAGTGGATGATACCGCATTTAATCTAAAGAAGAGTTGGCGTAAGGTCCAAGAGCTTGTTAGACATTTTTGGAAAAGATGGCTAAGGGAGTGGCTTCCATCATTGAGTCCTTGTGGAAAATGGTTTAAGGCTCAAGGGGACTTAAAAGTAGGAGATCTCGTCCTAGTAATCTCCCCTGACACTCCTAGAGGAAAGTGGCCATTAGGAAGGATCCTGAAGACCTACCCAGGTTTGGATGGCCACGTTCGTACTGCAGACATTCAACTAAAGGGCACTGTGCTAAAGAGACCAGTGGTTAAACTCTGCCCAATCAACACTTGACTTAAAAATAATGTACTGTTCAATGTTTGAGTTTTTACACGTTCAAGTTGGAACTATTGTTAATGTTCACATTAAGGAAGGGGAGGATGTTGGAGAGATGTGTTGGGCAGCCTGTGGTTTTAACCCAGACTGCTTTGCGAAAGGCACATGGTGTGCTTGGTGGTTGTTGTTGACTTYGATAGTTCAGCTCGGTTTAATAGTATACTCTCCTTTGTAATTTTTTACCTTCACACCTATTGTTTCTAGCATAACTATCACATATTGTATGTAAATAGCCTAGCACTTASCCTTTTGTTCTATATCATATATATATATCTATATTATAGGAATGTTTATCATTAAATACTGTCTGATGAGTGCGTAGCACGAAACTAGGAGTATATAACTTAGTTAAYATAGATAATAATAAGAGGAATTTGAAAAAATATGAATTCAAACACCTTAAAAATGTTATAACATCAAGTACAATTATAAACAGACGCTCTTGAAAATTTCGAATCATTAGAAAAGACTTCGAAATCAAATAGACCTATCCATATG